TGCCCCAGGCTTCCTGGAATCAGCTGCTGATCAGTTTCAGCAGCAGCTGACTTGGGGACGCCTGGGTTTCTTAAGTTGAATCTGTATGTAAGTCAGAACTGGCACCCAGATTCAGCTGCAGTTGAAACTGATCAGTTTCAGCGGTGGCTGATGCCAGTTCCGACTTACATACAGATTCAACTTAAGAACAAACCTACAGTCCCTATCTTGTACGTAACCTGGGGACTGCCTGTACAAGATCTGGTATGGTTTTGATAAAGATCTCCTGAATAATATTAACATACACACAAGAATCTTGGTCAAACTTCTTCAAAATTTGAGGATTTTTTTTTTGCTTGTTTTTGTCAATACTTTAAACTCAATTGCATGAACAAACAGGAAAGATACATAAATTAAAGGTGAAAAAGTTGCATTTAGTCCTTGGCGCCTTCAAAGACCAAAAGCAGAAAAAATTAGACTTCATATTACTAAGGCCCAGCCTACAGCTAGAAACTGTACTGAATCAAAATAATTTCTAACTGATTTAAAAGTGTGCAACACCTGTTTGTGAACATGATAAAATCAGATTAAGAGGGCTATTAGTTTAGTTTTATTTATTAAGAAAGCACATTTAGATCTAAGCAAGTCTCACAAAGGCAGCTCCATTGATGGGGGGTGGTGAAACAAAAGAGGCAGCTGTCCCAGGGCCAGGCAATTTCAAAGGGCCTCGGGCTGCTAGCTACCACTGCAAGAGTGGCAGTAGAGTCCTGGGACCTTTAAATGACTACCAGAGCCCCAGGTGGCACAGGCTGGGCAGCACTGAAGGGCTGGCTGGGGGAAGCTAGCCCCGGCCTTGCCCTTCTAGGATCCTGGGAATTATCAGCAGTCCTGCAGAAAGGGATTGCACCCATTTAACTAAATTGATTTAGAAACTAATTCTGTTATGTGATGGTGGAGTATATGTGGGTGTGTGGAAAAGTCCTAAGGTAAAAAAGGGGGGGGGGCGAAATGAAGCAGAACCCTGAAAAATAACCCTTTTGAACTATATTATTGTGGGTTATACTTTACCAATTGTGGAAGGCTACGATGAAACTGTTTAGGTCAGCAACAAGAATTTACATTACAGGAAGCACTAGTATGTTCAATAATACAGCAACTATGAAAAGCTGCTGAAAACCAATTCATTGTCAGTTGCAACCACTGTTACTGGTGATCTTGATGGAAAATGAAATTTGTGACAAACAGTACTGGACCTAGTATATCCATGTTTACTGAAGAGAAATATGCAAAAAACAAACAAACAAAAAAACCTCATCAGTTTTGCTGCCATTTCAGCTACACCAGAATTAGGCCTGGTTTACGTGAGAAAATTAAGTTTGGTGTAATGTTTCTCAAGGGTGTGAAAACAGCACCACTCAGTGATGTGAATTTAACTCAACCTAAGTCCCTGACTAGATAACACTAGATTGCTGGACGAATTCTCCTGTTGACCTAGCTACTGCCCTTTGGATGTGGATTACCTACACTGATGGAAGAATCCCTCCAGTGGGTGTAAGGCAGTGTCTACAAAGAAGTACTACAATGATGCAAATGTGCCACTGTACCATTTTAAGAGTAGACATTTAGACTAGGGTTTCATGAGCATGCCCTCTTATGAGCAGTTCAGTTAAACCTGCTAAGAACAGAAATTCAAATGGCAATAACAGCAGGTATAGCTGCAAGAGCCATATGTGCACTATGGCTCCCAGGGAGCCAAAAATAGGTTTAAATGAATCAATATTTTGTTTCCCAAAGTACTGAAAAAAAATCTTATAAATCTACAGTTAGTTTCAATCCTGCTTTGATAGAGTCATCAGAAAAATCAATGCTTTCTAAATATTCTTCAACTAGACTTAAGCTGGAAACGAAATATATCTTGGGGAACTACTGAGAGAGTTATTCACACTAAGCTTGATCAGACAGAAGCTTTGGAAAAATATTTTCCATAGTAATTAACAAAGTCATTAGATGCAAAATATTAATTCAGAAAAGATGACACCAGTTGTTGCAATGAGTTACAAATGAGTAGCCTATATTGTTTAAGAATGATTTTCTCGTGAGGAGAAGGCACTCAACAGAAAGTAGGGGGGAAAAAAAACAGATTTAACATTCAAGGAATTTAATACTACATCTAGAACAGTATTCTCTGACAAATGTTCTGACAAGTGATCCAGCGGGTACACCTCTACAACACCTGAATCCAAATAGTACAACAACCACAGTGAAGACAATAAAGCACAGACTTCAGCACAGATAGTTCAAGCCTGGCATGGGTCCTAGATATGCACTCAGCCCACTAGTCTGTTGTGAATCCCATGCTGGCCTTCACTGCTATTATCAGCATTACCTGGATTCAAGCTACCTCAAATAAACTAAACTAATCTACGAGGATTTTTAATGAAAGCCTGCATATGTCTGCATTGCCATTTGCTATGTAAATCTTTATTACACATACAAAAACAACTTTACGATAAAAATGCTAGTTCCTTCCACACCTCAGCTACATGAAGAGGGGTTGAATGGCAGTTGTCAAGACGCACTCCATGGAAATATTTGGCAGTAATTTCAGTGTATTTTTTCATATGTGCCCATAGGTAAGGGCAGTCTTCTGGTTTATTTCCATAGCGCAGTTTGACGCTGTCTCCCCAGCAAATAAGTTCTCTTCTTAGGTAAACATTTGAACCTGTAAAGAAAAGAAATTCACTTAGCTGCAATACATTACTGATAGCAAGGGAACCTGACATATTGGCTATGTCTTGACTGACATGATTTTCTGCAAATGCTTTCAACACAAAAATTTTTCCCTGTTAAAAGCATTTGCGGAAAAGAGCATCTAGATTGGCACGGACGCTTTTCCGCAAAAGTACTTTTTGCGGAAAAGCGACCGTGCCAATCTAGACGCAGTTTTGCGCAAGAAAGCCCCGATTGCCATTTTCTCCATCGGGGCTTTTTTGCACAAATCTGTTTTCAGCTGTCTACACTGGACCTTTTGCGCAAAAGCATTTCCGGAAAAGGGCTTTTGCCCGAAAGGGAGCAGCATAATATTTGCGCAAGCAGCACTGATTTCAGACAGTAGAAAGTCAGTGCTTTTGTGCAAAATCAAGCGGCCAGTGTAGACAGCTGGCAAGGTTTTCTGCAAAAGCAGCTGCTTTTGTGGAAAAACTTGCCAGTCTAGACGCAGCCATTGAGTTTATTGTTAAATAAAAATAAAAAAAGGAGTATTAAAACAAGATTTTAACTATACCATATCAATTCTCAAATTATATAATGTATGCTAAATCACATCTTCCCATGTAACATTACACTAAAGGTGCACTTGAAGTCTATACGAATATTAATATAGTTCTATAAACAAACCAATTTGTATTTTAAATTTCAAATAAGAAACAGTGGTACATTGAACGGAATAAAATAAAACAGTGCCCTGTGCATTAAAATGTATAGCATTGCAAATTCCATGAAAGATCTCTTTCTCTACAATCTTTTCCATATTTTCAGTTCAGTAAAACAGTAAATCATATACTTGACAGCAAATGCTGACAACAGACAGGTTCAAAGTGTATATAAACTGTGCGTAATATAAACTGCCTTAATTTTAAAATGTAATCTATTTTAATTCAGTTTCTATTCCTACTAAATCTAGAGCTACATTTTGAAGAAGCACCTAAGACACTGAGATGGCTTTGAAAATTATATCCTAGTCTGTTTCATTCCCTTATTTCTGTATTTTACATGTGATCAGTCTAAATTTTAAAAATCACGATTTATCTGTAAATTATACTCTAATCCACTGTACCACAAAATATGAAATTTACTGTTTTTACAGCTCTTGAAGATTATTAAAAATATTTTGTTAGAATCAGATTAGGAAAAAGGTATTTATGACCTATTGAAGACATCTAAGAACCTACTTTGATTTTCAGCATTATCTGGGAAGCCAGTTGGGTAATTGCTTACAATCACGCATAAGGAACACTTTGTTCATGAAATGCAGAGTTCTAATGGTCTGATTACTTTTATTCCACAATGAGCTCTTCTTATTCTGTTTTACTCAGTGCAGTTAAAAATGCTGATTTATGAAACATAAGGAGAACTTTCTGTACTCATCTGAGAAAATAATCCTGCATTACTTCATACATCTCCTGCTAGTTTTGTGATTTTTCCTTGTTGTAAATCCTTCCCCTCCAAATTTGTAAGCCTTGTCAAGTTGTGAACAATTGTTAAGTTCTATCATGGAAAAAGGAGAGCAATGACACACTGGCAGCCTGCTCCAGTTACCCTTACATCACCACACACTGCTTCATCAATGGAAGTATGCAAGACATAGGGGGGTAATGAACCCTTCAAGAAAAATAGATTAATGGAGAATATAAAGTATTGTCATATATTGAGACACAGGTCCAGCACCCTAGGGACCTGACTGGTCCTGGATGAGGCCTTTTTCCCCAGACTAGGGGAAGTCATTTCTGGCTCCCTGGTTCCTGCCAGCTACACCCAGCCTTGCACAAGGCTCCTGCCCCCCTATATCCCTGGCAGCTTCACAATTCCCCGTGCAGCCAGGTGGGCCATGCACCAGGACCCCGTGACACTCTTCCCTCCACAGCACACCGGGACGCCCACTGCCTGCAATGTGCTGGGACACTCATCCTGGAATATCCATGTTGCTGGATCAGAGAATCCTGCTTTATAGAGGTGCAACCTGTACAAGTATCTTCAAACAAATTGAGTGACATCCTAGCACCCGCGAATTCAATGGATAGATTTCTAATTGGGCCAAGATTTTACCCATTTAGTGAAAATTAGACATCAGGGGACAACTGCACTAGCCAAATACATGTATATTTGCCAAAAGAAAAGGACAGCCAATTAAAGGATGAGTAAAAAAAAAAAAAACTTCTGCACTGGGCCAACATGTATTAATCTTCAATAATGCCTTATTTTAAAGAGAATATGTAGAGGAAAAAAAGGAAGTCAATTATTTTGCAACAATTAAAAACCATATACTGAATGTACTTATTGGCAGAGCTCTGACAGGCACTTCTGTAAATTTATGAGGGCGAACAGCTGCTGTGATGCTATCCATTAGCACCAGTTTAACCATTAGCAACTGAATTGGAATTAAAATTTCACTACACTAGACAAAACTACTGCTCTGAGAGTTCACCAAATAAATTCTCAGATCACCTGCATCCTTTAAAGGGGGGGAGGGAGTGGAAGAAATAAAGAGACAGATACGCGCGTGTGTATAAAGAGATACACACACACACGAGCAGTGAGGGGAGGGAGGGGAGTACCTAAAAGGCAAAACTGAGGAGCTGACCCTCAAAGTTTGGATGTATTCAAGCTATTAGAGAACACTGTCAGAATAAAAAAAAAAAATCTGGTGAAAATATTCTTTGGTTCTCCTAACTCAAATGTCAGGAAATATTTGTTTAACAAATTGCATTCCTTCACAGAGAGAATGAGCATAGACAATTTCATTTAAAGAGTGATTTCAGAACATCATAACCGTAACAAAAGCCCACTCCCGCCTATTCAGAAAACAAAGTGTTTTGAAGCTTAAATTTTAGGAGGTATAGTGCTTGCTATACACATGGTAAGACAACAGTAAACAGCACTCAGAAAATGAAAAGACTCTCTAAATCAGTGGTCACCAACCAGCAGATTGTGATCTACTGGTAGATCTGGGAACTGCTGATTGGTGATCCTAACAGGGTTGGCTGGGAGGCTATCCAGTGCCGGCACTTCAGCTGCCCCTCTCAGCACAGCCATGCTGCTCCTGACCTCTGCCTTGGAGCTGTCCTCCAGTCCAAGGAGCCTCCTGCTTGCTGTGCAGGGCATGGGAAAAAGAGGAGGTAGTGTGCTATGTTAGGGTACCCCTTCCCCCCCGCACCCCATCTCCACCGAGCAGGGGGGCAGGGATGGAAAGTTTGCTGGCTGTTTTTGGGAGTGGTGCAGGGGCTAGGTAGGAGTAAGCTTGTCTTAGCCCCACTGCACCACCACCCAGAAGTCACCTGTGGTAAGCAGTGCCCAGCTGGAGCCTGCATTCTGAACCCCAGCCCCAGTCCTGAACCCCTCCTGCACCCCAAATCCCTGCCCTAGCCCCAAGTCCCCCTGCACCCAAACTCCCTCCCAGAGCTTGCACCTTGCACCCCTCCTGCACCTCAAATCCCTGCCCCAGGCTCAGCTCAGAACCCCTTCCCACACTCCAAATCCCTTAGCCCAAGATCAGTGTCTGCACCTCCTCCCTCGAACCCCAACCCTCAACCTAATAAAAGTGAGTGAGGATGGGGGAGGAAGGGAGAATGGAGCGAGCGGGGTGAGGCAAGGGTATTTATATTTGAGGTCGACCTTGGATTGCACTTAAAATCAAAAAGAGATCTTGTGCTTAAAAGATTGGAGTTCACTGCTCTAAATCCTGAAGTAGTTGTAGCATTGCTAACATGCTGAATAGGAATACAAATGCTATATGCACTGGCACAAGTTTCAATTAAAATTTGGAACTACGTTGAGATAAAGCAAAAAAAGACCCCAAAATGCCCTATTTATTAAGCGATTTGAAGTTCAGTTCACAAACCTGGTTCAGCAAAGTTTCTCAGAGGATCATCTCCCATTACCCAACCATTATGAGCCAAGAAATGACAAGCTTTATCAGGCTGATGCATCAGAGGTTCTTCCTCTTCCAAAGTCATTTCTTTATATGGGTAAGTAAAATATCTAGAGATTGTATAAATACAAAGTAAAATGCACTTAAAAAATTAAGACTTAAATATTTTAAAGACAACTGAAATACCGCCTGCCTTATATCAACCAATAAATTGCACAAAACTACTTTGTTGCTAAGAGATAAATGAAGGGCTGTTTTCTGTTTTGCAAAGTACAGTAAAACTCCGGTGGTCCGGCATCCAATGGTCCAGTACGCCTGATGGTCCGGCACCAACTGCAACCCGGAAGTGCTCCAGCAGCTGCTTCAAGTTGTTAGAGTAATTGATTAACTGCGGCTGGATCCACAGCCGACACGCACTTAATGTAACTTTCCTCTCTACTGCCGGGGGGGAGGGGCAGTGGGAACGGGTAGATCCGCAGGTGACAGGCTGGTGCTGAAACTCACCAGAGATGACTTTGACACGCAGTTAATGTAACTTTCCTCTCTACTGCCGGGAGGAGGGGGGACAGGGGAAGGTAGGGGTCAGTGGGAGAGGGGGAGGAGGAGGGGGCGAGGGTGTGCCAAAGCAGCCGCATTCAGGACGTTCTGGTCAGTTACAGTCACTCCGGCTGGATCCACAGCCGACACGCAGTTAATGTAACTTTCCTCTCTACTGCCGGGAGGAGGGGAGGCAGGGGAAGGTAGGGGTCGGTGGGGTGGGGGTGTGCGGATATATACACTGCTGATATATATACAGTCTGTTAATTATTCACTTAAACACTAAAAAATGCGAATTTTAACAAACCCCAGAAACTTAAATCTGTAACTTTATTTTGTCATGCTGCACAATTACTCATCATCCGATGAAACCAGTGCTGCTTCATCCCTGTTATCATCCCCCTCTTCAATATCCTCCTCTGCTTCTATGGGAGTGTCAACAACAGTAGGCTCTGGTGGTGGTGGTGAAGAAAAAGGCTGAACTGTCTTCTGTGCCCTTGCAAACATATCCCTGAGATCAGCTTGCTTAGAGGACTGTGACTTCTTACGAGACCCACCCCTGCCAGAGTACCTCCTGATAGTCCGGCATTTCTGATAATCCGGCACCACCTGGATCCCAAGGGTGCCGGATTATCACAAGTCTACTGTAGCTGGATAACTCCTAAATGCCTAACTCCCTTTTGAAAATTAGATTAGACCTCTAAATCAGTTAGGATATGTCTACACAGAAACAGTTTGAAATAACAAGCATTATTTTGAAATAACTTAGTCCATGTCTACATAGCAGGCAGATATTTTGAAATAATGTCAAAATACAGTCAAAGTGGAGGACTTTTTACTCCAACTCTTGTAACCCTCATTGTACGAGGAGTAAGGGAAATCAAAGGAAGAGTGCTTAATTTCAAAATAAGTGCTGTGTAGATACTCTCAATTTTGAAATAAGCTATTTCTAAATAAGCTACGCAACTGACGTAGCTCAGTTTGTGTAGCTTATTTCAAATTAAGCCCTGCCGTGCAGATGCACCCTTAAGAGACTGCACTGCTTCCAAACTAGTACAAATATTCTATCAGCACCACATCCAGTTTCTTTCAGGCTGCACCCCCCAAATCTGGCAAAGCTGTATTGTGCAGCTTAAGTAGCAAGGGCAGCAAGGTGCAATTACCCCTGATTCCCTAGATGAGCACTATAGCAACACCATAACAAATCCCCTGGATTTCAATGAAATCTAAACCCCATACCGTGTTCTGTACAGCCACCTGATGTCCCCCCCTCCTTTTTTTTTTTTTTTAAAGAGATTTTTGAATGAAAGCCTAACAAGAAGTTCAGCCATTACAACAAAGCGTTATCAGTGATTAGTTTAACTAAGTTACCATTTTTTCCATCTGTGTGATCAGAGGAGAAAGATGGGGAAAGTGATGCAAAGGCTTACATTGTAGCTCAGAATGTGAACTATGGGGCTGCACAATCTCAGTTTCAAAACAAAAGATTTTAGTCTTAAAATTAGAATAATCTAATTTTAGCTAATCACTGTAAGGAAGCATCCCATGTTGTTGTAGTAAAAAGGTGAGTTTAATACAGAAGTTTATTTTTATTGGATTTTACATTTGCCTCAAAGATTATGTCTCTTCCATAGGCTTACGTGCAACTTGCACAAAAAATTTACCAGAGAAACACTAATCCTCATTGAGCTAAAACTGAAGTTCAAGTTAAACGAGTAAGTTTTGCATAGTTTGGTTTCTAAGAAACATGGCCTGATTCTTCTCTTCTTACAGAGTTATTGCTCCATTGACTTAAAGGGAGTTACTCCTAACTTATAACAGTGTAAAGGCTCATTCTTGCAAAGATGCTCAGCAAGACTGCTCAAAGTCATGACAGTGATGAATGCTTTGCAGGGCCTAGCCTTTACAGACCATCAGAGTCAGGCCCATATCATCTGTAACATCAAATCTAGATGTTTTAGTCAAGCTAAGAAAGTAGAACATTTTAAAAATTGCTTTTTGAGCGAAGACAAAAGACAATACCTGGTGAGTAAAGGGTATTTTCTACTAACAGGACCCTGTTTAGGACCATGGTCAGCCAGTCTCTCATAAGCCACAGTCTCCACAACACAAGTAACTGCCTGGAAGTACATTAAATGTTATTTCAATAAAAGTATAAAATTATGGTTTATAATAGAAAGAAAGAAAGATTTCAAAATTTAAATGCAGCATTAAAAAAGACCTGCTCTTGATGGTAGTTAATTTGCCGGAACTGCTCAGCATTTAATTCTTCAATTTTCTTTTGAAACCAGTTACAGCATTCTTCTATTGCAGCTGGTCCATTACTATACAACAGAAAAACAGCACTTAAAAACTGTAAGTTCAGCTCTCACTATACACCTGTTTAAAGTTCCTAAATTTTAAACATACCTTTGATTATAAAATATAACTCAAATATTGATGAATGAAAATTCTAATTCCTTACCCCACCTAGAGGATCTCATCATACTAGATTTTTCAATTGAAAGTTAACATTCAGTTTTTCTTGTACAAACCCAATATTACAGTTACCTATGTGGTATGAAGGTTGCCAATGCAATATTCATGTCCACAGTACAGCCAAGTCGTTTATATTCGGGATCCTGAATTATTTGAAGATGTTGGTTTGGATCAGATTGAGTTTTCCTGTTACCTGAAGAAAAATAAAATTAACCAAAATGTGGTAGAGTAGAAGTTTAAAATGCGCACACTAAAACTTAAAACAAACAAAAAAAACAAAAAACACACATAGAGAGACAGGTTTTGCTGTTCCAGTTTACCTAGAAACTGAAATACAGATAACTAGGGGAGGAAAAAAAAGCTCTACTGAAGTTGACTGCAAAAATACTCATTGACTTCAACCAGGTCATAATTTCAGCTAAGCTCTTAGACAAAGCAGTCTTTATTTTTTGTAAGTCATTTAAAGTAATTTTGACTATAATTGTCAAAACTGAGAGTGTTCAAGTTGGTATGTATCTGAGCATGCATTTAAACAGCAAACCAACAACAGAAAGCCTCTTCTCCCCAAAACATGTATGTATAACAGATATACTTTTACCTTTAATCAGAAGGTTTTTAAATTGCTGCACAGCTTTGGTAACATCTACTTGGAAAAATTCCCATAATTTTATCTTGGGAAAAATATCTTCCCAAATTATTTTACGAATACACTGTAAAAAAAAAGAGAGTTACTTTTACACAAGTCCTAAAAAGCTATTAAAAATAAATACTTCAGGGCAGGGACTGTGTGTCTTAGTACAGGTTGCACCTATTTTAACTAGGATTCTTCGGTTTGGCAACATCCACAGATGTATTTCGATGAGAGAGCCCTGGGGCCAGAGGGCCAGCAGCTGGGAGCCTGGCAGGGTTGGGAACCCAGCAGGGCTGGTGGTAGGGGGGCCGGAGCTGCATGTGGCCGTGGCAACCCCTCATGGACAGCCTGGCCGGGGCTGCAGCAGCCTAGCATCAGAGCTGGGGCTCTGGTAATGGGGCTGCGTCTGACACAGAGATTGCAGCAGGCAGCCCATTTGGGAAGGAATGAGCTGGTGGCAGGGCGGGCTGAGGGGCTGTGGCAAGGGACCTTTCCTGGTCCAGCAAATTCCCTACTTTCAGTTCCATCAGGTCTCAAGGGAGCTGGACCAGAAAGGTCCAACCTGTATATGTTTGAGAAACATCTAGCAGAGTTTAGGCACTACCACAATATAAATAAACATTTCTTCATATAGTTACATTGTTTATTATTACTACAAAGTACAATGCTGTGTTTCTCATTTACTTACGTTCAGGTGATGGTCATTTTCAATTGATGGAGGTAGCCCCTTATCTCTGTATTTCCCTTCAGCCACACTACAGCTTAAATACCAGAAAGCCCGGTCTAAGATCCAGGCTGGTTTCAGGTGGGGAGAATTTACAAGATTATAACCACATTCTGGATGCACCTTAATCCATTCACTGTTAGCAGCTTAGTAATAAGAGAAAAAACAATAATTAAACAAGCTGAATTATTTCACTCTTTTATACAAACATCTTATGACCAAAACTTTAGGATAGCACAGGAGGTAAAAATCAGTTTAGTTTCCAACAGAAGATTTGGTTTCAGTCTTTACAGAATCAGACCACATGAAAACTTACATTCCACTAACATCTTTGGTATGACTAAAAAGTCAATAGACAAAAACAGATATTCTAGTATAGCAGAAACTATTTTACTTTTTTTTTCGTGCAAAAAAACCAAACACAAGAGATTCCTTGCTTCTGGTACATGCTGAATGACAGTGCAATACAGATCCCTTCACACAGTAGTGTTCTGTGGCAGAAATCAAGGAGCCCTTATCATAGAACTAAGATGCAACCCACTGCTATATATACGGGGCCATGCTTGTAGTAATAGTGGGTATCCACAAAAAATGTGAAAGATAAGTCATGGGTGGGAGGAGGGGAGAAAATGAGGAAGAGAGGAAAAGAAAGCATCTAACTTTCATTGCTCTTTCCTTATAGAAAAGCCCTAGGCAGAGTTTCATAGAAAATTATCATTTTCATGGGATCTTTTGAACTAGTCTATGTAATTTAGTAGGAGAACTATAATGATTATAGAATGGTTCAACAACCAAACGAAACAAAGATCATGATTAAATGCTCCCCAACACAGCCCTGTAGAAATTTCATATAATTTTTACATTGCCTTAGAAAAGAGTCATGGAAGGCTGAAGTAAAGGAAATGTGGTCCCTAACTCAAAGAAGAAAGGGTTTGTGTCCATTACTATCCACAAGTCATTTCTAACATTGATAGAATTTATTAATCAGCCTATGCTGGTTGTGGTTCCATTGAAATGCAACAGACTGCAATACTTATTCTGTGAGGGCTTTTTTTTTTTTTTTAAACCAAATTGTGTGTTATTTTTGTTTGCTGATCATAGTATTTATAATTCTCTCTTGTTTGAAGCGACCTCTACTGTTACATTTCATTATCATTTAGAATTTGGCATTGACTGTTTGACCTTTATAAACCTGGAACCCTGCCATCCACAACTAAAGGCAGCCAGCGCATCTGAAAGTAACAAAGCAACATTACCTCGGGCCTTTAAAAGCTTCACTTGTAAATATCTTATATGGGATCTTATTCACATACATATGTTGCCTGAGACTTCTGTACAAAAATACTTTTTTCTTTAAAAAGCAAAGTTATCCTATTCTGAATAGATGAACAAAAAAATGACAGACATCGGGAAATTAAAAAAAAAAAGACGTGTCCTTTGGTGTCAGAAATTGGTGATTCTTGCCAAAAAGATAAGGCAGCAAAATGACATAACTTTTCACTTGATTCTGAGAAATCACCTTCTAGCCTTCAGACACGAGATGAAAAAAAGTGTATAATAATTGTGATAAAAGTAATTGCTTTGAAGATAATTCTCTGAACTGGAATTTAGTGAAACTTCTAGAGAAACACTAGACAGCATTATTCTTGACAAACTATTCTTGTTTTGTTGAATGTAACAAATGGGGAAAACATGCATGATTAGAAAAATTTGTAGTTTTCAGAAAATATATTCATAATAAGCTTCATTTAAAAAAGCTGGGGGGGGAGGGGGGAGTTTACTTGCCAATATACAATATTGTCTTTGAGTGTGCAGCCAGATGCAAACAATAGCACTCACACTTTTCCCTTTTTATCTCAAATAACTGTGGACTCTAATGGTTAGTTTGATTTACCACAAGCATTTAAATGCTACTGAAAACTGATTAAAATACTTCTGTCTGTAGGAAAATGGGAGACATTTTCCTCAATTGTACAGCACATAGATCAGGCCTGGGCAAAACACCCTCTGCAGGCCAGATTCAGTCCGCCAAGCCACCAGATCAAGCCTGTGGAAGCAGGTGGGGAAATCTCAGGAAGACTCCTCTGCTTGTCCTGCCCCCACTGTGGTTACATTCTCATCTGGTGGGGGAGAAGGGGGGAGGGGAGGGGAGAGGGGAGTGACATAGGCCACAATCCTGAAAACACAGAATCAGGGCCCAAGTTTTTAATTTATATTTTTAAAAAGCTTAGAGACAAAAATACCAGACTAGGCCAGGAGTGTGTTGCATGCCAAGACAGTCAGTTCAAAGGAAATAAACTGAAAGTTTTATTTGCTTTACACAGAGCTGAATTTTAAAGAAATGATTGTGACACTAACATGTTTAACCATTTTATTGCTGTTCTTATCAGACACTGAATTGAGAATGCTGCCTAAAACTAAACCTGTTTTTATCTGACTATACAAACAGCCAAATTTACTAGCAAAATATTTTGGATTAGTCAGATAAATAAGACACTTCCCAGAAGAGGAATTTAAGAGGTTCAAACTCCAACTGAAATCTTCTTCACCAATTAGTATAAAAAGAGTACTACTACCAGTGTTGCCTCTAAACTGCATGGCAGCACAGCTGATTAATCACCTGTGAAGCTCCACGAAGTCAGAGACTGGGGGCTCCTTGTACACAGCTGACTGACAGGGCAGCGCTCACTGATCACCTGCGCAGCTTAGAGGAAACACTGACGACTACCACCACCATTAGTTTATCAGCAGGGGAAAAAAAAAAGAAAAAAAAAAAAGACACGAAACCTTTAAAATACATATATAACTAACCAAGCAATTTTTCTTCATGAACTGTCCTCACTTACTCTTATTGGCCTCCCGCTCGTACACTGCTTGCTGTTATGACTTGTATTTTACATCCAAACATGTGAACATAACAAAAACAGCTGTTCAGGTTGGACCTCCTTGACCCAGCATCCTCAAGACCTGAGTGGTCCTCAAGGAGGGATTTTGCCAGATAAGGGGAGGTCATTACTTCCCCCACCCACTGGCCCCCCAGCTGGGCTCTGCTCCTTGCCTGGCCTCCCCACTTGTGACCAGCTATGCATGGCAGCGCATGGTCCTGCCGCTGGGGCACTCAGCCTTATGGTGGCAAACCACTGCCCCACCACCAGTACTCCCAGCCACGCCAGCTCCACGGCAGTAGCACCAGCCTCGCCAGCCCACAGTCCCATTACCAAGATTCCCACCCCTCTCTTCCCCACAGCAGACTGCTGTTCAGCTGCAGTTCCCAACCAGCCAGCCTACCGAGGCAGCACTGGCCCCATTAGCCCTGCTGCGGCAGCCCCGTGGTCCCACCACCAGGGCTCCTGGTCTCATTAAAGCAGTCTGCTGCCCCGCCGGATCCCACTGGTGTTCTGGCTCCCCTCCGACGGGGTCAGCCGGACTTCCAGCTACTGGCCTCCCTGCAGCCAGACTGGCTTGGTTCCCAGCCCTCACAGAGCTCCTGCCTTTGGTCCTCCACTGGGGTGGGTCTCTCCGGTCTAGCAACATCCAGAACGCCTGCCAGACCATGGATGTTGCCAGACCAGGGAGTCCCGGCTGAGACACATTCAACCTGTACTGGGTCAGACCAAAGGTCCATCTAGCCCAGTGATTCATCCCATTGCCCATTCCTAACTTCTGTGTTCAAGTGAAAATATCTTACTCTTGTGATTAAGTTTGCAGGCTTCAGCCCTTCCATTTTACAGCCATTGGAGCAGGGGCCATCTATTATTTAGCTATAAAATGCCATACACAACACTAATGGTGCTGTAGAACTATTACATATTGACCTATAATTTAGATATCAAACCCACTGCCAAAAAAAATAAAAAATTAAAAAAAATTAGAGTTGGTACTAGGGATGCACATGACTTTTGGAGACAGGCACAGAAGTGGGAAGGCAAGAGTTTTCATTCATACATTGTAGAAATGCAGTCATGAGATCTGAGAGAATGTATATGATTAATTTATCTTACTCCTTTAAATGATCATCTTATTCCTAACCTATTTGTGTTAAGAGAAATCAATAAAACCTTGCTCAATGAATCAAAGAAATGGTTTTTAAAAGCTTCTTTGATGTTTAAGAAAATAGCACTTCAACACCAGAGAGCATCAGAAATTCCAAAAATTGAGCACTGCAGTGAGCTACAAACAACAGCTTCATCGAGTAGGTTATAAAGAAACCGGAAGACTGAGACGATAGTATCTATTTTTGCACTAATGTATGAAAGAGACTCGTACAAAATTGATCCTTTTATTTATGTCAAAAACATATTCCTAGAACATCTCTTCTTCTGAAAGCATGATACAGATCTGTTCCATGCATTCTCTCTGCCTCAGACCCAATCACCCTACTTCTGTTTTCCTTCCTTCCTCCTATCCTAAAATTAATGTGGTGTTTTTTTAGACCAGGAGTGAGGAACCTAAGGCCCAGGGGCCAGATGCAGCCCCCAGTTTGTCCGGATAAAGGCCCCCAAGGCTTGGAGCTCCCTCCCAGCACTGGGGAGCCTGAGCTGGCACTCCAGCCCACCTCCCTCTGCGCGCCATTCTCCCCATGGGACTGGAACACACAAAATCTACTAGCCTGGCCCCCCGAGGCTCTGGTATGAGAGGGGAATGTGAGGAGTGTCTTTCTGCTTCTCATTCAAGGGCCATGTCAGTGAGAGGTAGGGATGTTCAATAGTCAATTAACCTCATGAATTCTTATCAATTAGTCGACTATTGTATATTATCCGGAGGGCAAGGCCAACAGCCAGTGCACTAAGGTCTCACTCCCAAGGAGCCCCCTGCCACTGTACGCTGCTGCCTCTGTATCAGAGGCAGCAGCATGGGATACCCAGCAGGAGCTGGTCTGCAGGGGAGCCAGTTTAAAAACCGGCTCCCATCGTAGACTGGCTTCCTGTTACCCCATGCTGGTCTGCCTTTGGTAGAGAGGCAGCAGCGCAGGACGGCAGCAGCTTCTGACCGGGGAGGGTCTGAGCTCCCAGACCCAGTATGAGCTGGGACTGAGCTGGGCTGCTTGCCTGCATAGCTCCTAATACACTTGAAATGCAGAGCCACAGCAGGGGTAGGTCCCAGACCCATCAAAAGCCAGGACTGAGCAAGGCTGATGGCCAGCCTGCTAAAAAATGTACTGGTGGATGAAAGGGGAGAAATGCATGTAGTCTATAGCATTAATCTATAAGCTGCTTCTTATTGATTAATCGACTACATGATTACATCCCTAGTGAGGGGTTTTGTTTTTGTTTCTTGCTTGAGTGCAGACTCCAATTGAGTTTTATGTGGGTCAGTGGCCCCCATTCCAAAAAAGGTTCCCCTCCCCTTTTTTATACAGTGAAGAACATTACACTTGTTACAGAGTGATCCAGTGAATTTATACCTGAGCAATGCCATGCAGCATATATGAATACAGTATTATGAAAATATAGACAAGCATAAATATAGACAAGCATAATGGTGTTCTATAGAGATGTTTTAATCAGGATTTCCTTAGATTTTAAGTACTAATAAAAATTCTTATTTTGCCTTCTTAATAGACAGCTCTCCTTGACAGATACAAGATACAATGGATTTAGGAGACTCAAAAGGCAGATAAAGATGATTAAGTACCCTCAAAAACTTTTAAAAGGTCTTTTCATGGGGAAAAATCATGAAACAGCGAATAAACAGATTAGCTCTGACACTGTTACTGAGCTGGCAACAAAAAGCATCAAGGTAGTATAGCAAAAAATCATACCAGTATGATTGTAGACTACATCTGTTATACAAAGCATATTCCATTCATTTTTCATTTTTTCCACTAGGTTTCCTACATCACTCCAAGTGCACTTTTTATTTGAGCTTGAAAAATCAGGATTTACTTCTAACTGATCAGCCAGAGAGTAGCATGATCTAGATAGTCCAAGTTTTTGCACTGGTGTAAAATGAATCATGTTGTAACCTACAAAAAAATTACAAGGAAACCATTGGTTAATACAAGAAAAAGATTACAATGAACATAAGATGAAATTCTATGATAAACTGTACCATCATAGTATGTACTGCCACCAAACTTTTCAAATAGCTAAAACAAGTTTTTTGGTAACATTTAAACCACGTTCTATCCTCATTTCCTCTGTATCTTTCCAATCTATGTGATACAAATTAAACAGCCTAAAAATTCAGATCACATTTTTAAAGGCCGTTCCCAAATAATTGTCCTTCAAAGAAAATATTTTCATAATCAGACTGATTTACTTTATTATGCATTTAACATGGATTCAGTTTCATAACTATTTATTTCATAACATACTGCAAACTAAAAAAAAAAAGTAGAACTATGTAACATACTGGTAGAGCTTAAACAGTATACATTTAATATGTATCCCTTAAAAGTGATCTTTACAGAGTATGTAGTTATTACCTGATTCTTTTGCAACTTTAAGGCGATCTTCCCATTCCTCAAATGGTCCCAGACACTTAGCTAGGAATGTCTGGAGTGTAACACAATCCAAATGCAATACATGATTATCAACTCCAACACGCAAAATAGGGTCCACAACTATGTAACCTCCACCACTTTTCTCATTTCTAGAAAAAATGAGTCTATTAACTACTGGAAAAACAAATGCCCATTGCACCAGCCAGTTCTAACACCAGAAGCCAACCCACAATTTAGTATTTTAAAAATCATCTCATCTCAGCATGCTAAAGTACTGCAGAACAGGTCTTTCCAACTCAGAATCATTCCTACCATTTTCCGAATTTAAGGACTCATTTAAACTCAAACTTATTTAATGTTCTGCCTCTGAAATTTACAATGAGGTTTTTTTCTAGCGAACATACAAAAGACTTCAGTGCTGCAGCTGGATCCATGCAAGCAGTTCTTCAGGTCTATATGAAGCCCCATGGATATTAATGGGGCTTTGTGCAGATATGAAAATTAGTCTGCATAGACTGAATAGGATAGGATAGGGGTTAAAAATAGTGACTGAACCTAGAAGGTGCCATAATTCTTAAAAGTTTTAATTTAGCACCTTGAAGAACTGTGCCTAAGTCTTATTCTTGTATAACAACATGTTTAATTATTAAATAGTAAAAAAGGAAGAATGCAAGTTGTTATAAAATTTTAAAGATCATGTATAAGAACAACAGCCATTGTGTGGGTACTCTATTTTCTCTATTCAGCCATTTTATAGAATAAAAATGAGTATTCTTAAAGCATAACCATTAGAGGAAGTACAGGCAGTCCCCGAGTTACAGATCGACTGCTTAAACTGTGTCAGGACCTCAAAAAAATTACTGAAGTTAGAGATAAATGGATTTTGAACATAATGATTTCTAGCTCTGTTAGCCACTATGTCAGAACTAAGTGGAAAAAGCCCATGAAGATGTATAAGAAAGACAACTTTGATTTTAAATGTTTGAGCTCTCACAAACTTCCAAAACTAAATAGTTAATTATTTGTACCATTAGAATGCTGATGACTCAGACCGTGTAGGCATGAATTTTTTTGAGAGCAAGAGAATAAATTTGGTCTGAGTACTTCCCAAAACACTGCAGCCTGAAAAACCATCATGAATCCTTTGCAAGCAGTCCACCACAGAGGCAAATGATGACTGCACAGATATGGAAACTGAATTATTGTCTTATACCTCAGTTTCCCTTCTAGGTCAAGACGGAGATACATAGAGTAATGAGGGTGAAGACTACAGCATTTCATATGTAAAAAGCTCCACTTACTCATGACAGAAATAATACTGGTACGACCCAGAAATTTGGAGATCCAGTTTACAATATTTATCGGAATCATCTTCTCTTCCTGTTGGGTTGTGCCAGGACAGTGCCCTGAACTTACGGCGATTGAATAATTCTCCAGAAGCTGGATAGTTAGTGTACACTGTAACATGCTTGCCTTGTAATGTTGGGCCCAGTCGGAACTGTAGTTCAAAACCTCAACAGAAAAGATGAAGTGTTTAAAAAAATTTGTATTTGTTAAAATTAAAGAATAATCTTATGGTTTATTAGTGAGAGTCACAATATGAAGACTTCAAGTTAATAGAGGGGTACCATAATTCTATACTGATGCACTGAGTGTACAGTTAAGAGAATGATTTAATTTTAATGGCATTTCTCATCAATAGAGAATTATGGTGTAATAATTATTTCTGCTTCTCTGCTAATGTTGCCATTAAAAATCAGAAATTAAGTATCCCTCTTCAGAGCACTCTATTTCTACACAAATACAATAAATTAACTAAAAAGTCTGAAAAATAGTTATTTATTGCTGTTTTAGAAGGATTTAAGGTAGGGATGTCAGCATGTAGTTGACTAACCGATAAGCCTAGGCTTATCGTATAATCTTGTCGACTACATGCATCTCTCCACCCCTTGACAGAGGCAGCAAGGCAGGGGAGGGAGAGCGGGAGTCGGTGCCCGTGAGGTGCTGGTTTTAAGCAGACTGTTCATGAGCACCTGATAAGAGACAGCAAGCCCAGTGGCGGCGGGGGGGGAAGGGAGGCAGGCTGTAGCCGATATGCACGAGGAGCCGGCTTTCAAGCCAGCTCCCTGCATTTATCAGCTCAGCAGACTCACCTGTCCCTTCCTTGCTGCCTCCTACAGAGGCAGCAGGGGAGAGGGCAGGCAGAAGTCAGAGCTGTGGAGAGCCAGCTTAAGAGGTGGTTCCCCCCAGCACCAGCTCCGCGGTATGGCCTGTCTGCCCGCCCCCCCCGGCCTCTATCATTGTCAGCAAGACAAGGGTAGGAGAGGCTGCTGGAAAGCAGCCTCTGTCCATGGTGAGCCTGAGCTCCCTGTGGACAAAGGATGCTCCGCATCACATGGAGAAGCCTCTGTCTGTGGGGAACTCAGACCCCCCACAAATAGGGGCTGCTGCCACCCCGTGCTACTGCCTCTGTGTCAGAGGCAGCAGCATAGGGCAGCAGGCAGGAGCTGGTCTGTGTGGGGAGCTGGTTTTCAAATTGGCTCCTCTTGCCACCCCACACTGCTGACTCTGTATTAGAAGTAGCAGTGCATAGTAGCAGGGAGGATCCCCGGGACTGGGGCTGTCAGCCAATCAAATACTCATGTAACCAATAAATAAGATTTCACGTGGTTACACAACTATTCAATTACATGATAGCAAACATCCTTAATTTAAGGTGACAGAAGTATTACTATTTAAACAGTCACCTCATTTTTAATAGATAAAATAGAGATGGTATACATCTATTTAAATAAATGTCAACTTATAACAAGAGTAAAACATGGGTTATATGTATCACACATACCGTTACTGCCACATGAAAAACAGAGTGGGGAGGGAAAAAGCTATATTTCTTTAGTCTGTTTATCTTTGTGCATTTAACAGCATTTTCTGTCTAGTCAGTTTCTCATATTTGTGTGAATCTTTCACACAGCAAGAAAGTAAAAAATATAAAACATAAGAGGAAACTAGGACTTTCAAACCACATACACTGGCATGAGAACTTGGGTATATGTATTACCTGAATTTTCATAATTAATTGTTTTTTAAAACGAGGTTCTGATTTGACACTCCTTTAAATTTAACTGAATTGGGAAGATAACTATTTGTGAAAAATGGAAGACCAAACTTGAAAATGAAAATGTTTTATAGACATGTTTACATTTCATGTAATATTCAAGTAAACAAATCCCAAATCCTTTACATTTTTTGAAAATATAAACCAAATTGAGGCCCCACACCTGCATTTTATTGCATGGACAGCTATATTTGCATACAGCCCCAATGACTTCCTTGGTATTCTGATGAGGTGCAGCAGCTCACCCACAAATTGTAAATTGCAAGATTTAAGCCTTCATACTCTAAAATAGAAACCTTTGCCCCTCAATTTATAATCTGATCCACTCAGGTGAACACATATAGAATTTCATTTAAACCAACAGATCCCAGAGCAAGTGAGTGCCTGAATGACTCAGATTGTGGTATCAGGGCCTCAAAAGCCTGATCTGTTCACATGAGTGCAATTAGACGGATGCTTAAGCACTTTCAAGGCAACTGCCATTATTGATCAAGGCCTCAATCCTCCAACTACACCCACACACAACCATAAACCCATGCCATGCCACAGTGACTTCACTGGACAGTCAGTTGCAGGATCAGGATTTTAGAATCCATGACTGTGTAGAAGCACACACTGTTATTTCTAAATAACATGCGTTATTTTGAAATAAGCGTGCAGTGTAGACATAGCCTATAAGAGAAAGTTTAAAACGTATGCTGTAACATGTAAAAATGTTAAAAACAGTTAAATCATACCATCCTCATTAAATAAAAAAGTTGCTCAACAAATGGAATTGTGCCAGAATGACCAAATATCAAATTTCAGCTATCCAAGTACATTTAAATAGCCCATGCCAGTGAAGTTTACAGTATCTGTTACTTACCTTGTCATCCACTAAACATAAAAAGTAAGGATGAAAGAAAACCCTCCCAAGCATATAATAGCACAAAGACTTAACAGTTTCAGAATCTGGGTGCCTATCAACTAGCTAATTTGGTTGCAAAAATTGTATACAAAAATTACTCTTAGCAAGTTCAGGCAATTTCTCCTCACCATAATCTTGACTGAGTCAGCTAAAATTAGATCAAGCCACTGGGTTATATGCCTTTGATATTTTATCCCCTATAGTAACAGCACTGATACCAGGAATACTTTCCCTAAATTAGCTATGCTCTCCCTCCACTAGCTATCAGTTTAGGCAATTTGAAGTGTGTGGTTTTCCAATCTTCAGCAGCCCCCATGCAAGCTTATATAGCTTTAAGAAAAGTTAATAGGCTGATCAGAATTGACTCTGCACTTTTTTTTAAAAATTAAGAATAAAAAAGTCTGGTAAATTCAAATATTAATCATTCAGCAAATTGTGACTTCTAGTTTTTGAGAAGGGCAAAAAAAAGTCATGCTTTTCTGAAATATTTTGAAAATAAGTTCATAAATCAACCATTATTGGACAATATTTTTAAATCTGCTGGGTGAAAGATGAAACTTACACTGTTGCACCTTAAAGAAAACACCGTATGCAAGAAAGAATAAACATTTTCACCTTAACAGTTTATGGGCTGAATTTGCTGATCCAGATGATACTGGTCCAAATATGCCTTTCATTAACAGGCTGATGGATATACTTAAATATAAAAATGTTTCCAAGAGCTTACTAACAAGAGAAATAATTCTAAATTACAGAATTGCTTTAATCAATTTTGCGCACAAATTTAGCAGATCTTCAAATCTTATCTGTGACCCTCCCCCCCCCCAAAAAAATAGGACTACAGACATAAATAAACTTCATATTGATTAAGACATGGGATTAAGACATGGGACTAAATCATAATGATTCAGTGCTGCACACACAAAGTTAAATCACTAAGACTTACTTATAAATAGCACAAATAGGGACTGAACTAGAGATGAACACAGGAGTTGTATCATCCTACAGGTGCTGTCTTAAACTAGACTCATGTTTCATTGGAAACGTGATTCTGCCTTTTTTTTTTTTTTTTTTAAGAAATACAATGTCTTTTTGGCCTCCAAGAGCTTTACCACCAGCACTGATCTACAATTGGAGCCTCTAACATGCTACTCCCCATAAACAACATACAAATAGCTGTGTTCAGCAATTACCCCGTCCGGGAGACGATGGGCTAGCAGGGGTGTCCAAACTTTTTTCAAAGAGGACCAGATTTGATGAAGTGAACATGCGCGAGGGCCGACCATTTTGCCTGACATTCTTTGAACCATTAAAATTAAATGCAAATTAACTATTTTATGTAAAGTTTATTGCAAACAGCATACTTTTCATTTCGTCACATGGATGACAAATCTAAACAGGTGTTAAATCACTCTGCCTTTCATATCTGAAGGCCAGATGAAAAAAAAAATCCAGGAAGCTGAAATATATGTCAGGAACATTGTAAAGTACATTACATATTATTGGTAATAAAGGTTGTCTGTCAACTTTTAAGTTCAAAAAATATGAACAGGAACATAACACCAAGTATACATGTTGTGTCCAAATATATTTATAACTGATTTAGACCAACTGACTTTAACTGAGATTTTACAATGTATTCATCTCAATACATATGGATTCATTGGGGGCCATAAAAGATAGATATTGCCAAATTACCCGGAGCACGGGCCGCAATTGGCCCGCGGGCCGGACTTTGGACATGCCTGGGCACACGACGGCTCACCACGAGCATTGCCGTGAAGGGATGGCTTCTTCCCCAAGAGCTGCCGGTCAGCTACTAGCGCGGGCAGCCCTCGGACCCGCCCCAGGGCAGCACTGACCTTGCTCCAGCCTGAAGAGGGTCTTCTCCAGCTTTTCCATGGCGTTGAGAGGCAAAACCCGGGTCTGCCTACTGGGGGCCATTTCTGCTGCCTGCGGACGTGACCTCTCTCACGGGGAGACGCGGAACGTCGGGCGCACAGGAGCGGGCCCTACAACGACAAACAGCCCCGAGGCCCCCCCCAGTCAACAGCCACCAAAGCAGGAAGCAGCCCCGGCCCCGCGGGCGCCTCGGCACTTACATCGCCGCGGGGAGAAGCGGGCGCTGGGGGCAAGTCCCGGCCGCGCTGCCAGGCAGGGGCAGGGGCTGCGCCTGTCACTCTCCCGGCACAATGTGCCCTCGGGCCGGGGCGCGCAGGGGGCGGGGAAGCGGCCTGGCAGCGCCTCCCCGGCCGGTATAAATAGCCGCCGGGCGCGGGGCTGCACTCACCGAAGGGCAGGGGGCGGCTCCTCCGCGCAGGCACGGTGGGGTCCCTCTGCGGGCCGGGCGGACACGGACGGGCAGCGGCGCACAGAGCCCAGGGCCTCCCGCCTCGCAACAACTGCACTGGTTCCGCCGCGGACCGACCCTGACAGGGCGGCGAGCTCCCGCGAGAAGAGCGGGCAGAGGGCGGGGGAGGGGGGTTGCTGGCTGGATCCTCAGGACACAGCACGTGGAGGGATAATTTTAAAATGCGGTGCCCTTCTCTCCTCTCTTCAAAAATAAACCGTCGTGGCCGCACTCTCGCCGCCAGGGATGGAAATCGAGCCTGGCACGCCGGGGCCCCATCCACCTCCAGCTCAGTAGGCTGGAAAAAGCGACCCCCAGCCGCCGGTTTAAGCCTCTGTCCTGGATGGACCAGTCAGGGTCACCTAGTCCATAGGGCTGTGCTCTCCCCCGGCTGCAAGCACCTCTGTCCGAGCTCACTGCACCCCGACAGCTTTCAGGCATCGAGTTTGTACTTTTACTCACATCACCCATGAAGCGAAGTTAACAGCACTGAACTTACTATGTTCAATGCTTGTTATACCAATAAATCACGCAGCAGTAGTGGAGATGTGATTAGAGAAACATTTCTGGTACTGTAAGCTGTTCATTATAACAGAGAAATGGATACTTTACATTTAGATTGGAAAAATATTTGAAACCTATTTCTCCATTCACAGATGCTTAACCCCACCCCATAAGCAAAGTTTTGCCACAACAAGTGAAAGAGTGAAAGGTGCTTTATTGGCAGGCTTGCTCTGCTACCAACTAAATGAAACGCCCTTGTTGGGGGTGGAAGTATTTTGTCAACAGGGCACAGCTTTGTTGCTAAAAGCTATATGGTATTAACAGCCCCATGCCTAGGCACTAATTTTTCAGTGTTCTACACAACACCAATTCTCCACCAGATCTTTCAGCAGCAAACAGATGATAGCAGAAAGAAGCTGTAGTAAAATTACACTGCTCCCTCAGCACAAAATCATCCATACATCTAAATTCTTCAGCTATATATTTCTTTTTTGTAAAAAGATGTCAGCTGGGTGTGTATACTATATAGATACTCCCATTGTGGAAGATTAAAATAAGGATCTGTACTATGCCAAATGTAAGGAGGAAAAGAAAACCATAAATGTCTATTAAATCTAAAACATTTTGGCTTTGAAAACTACACACCTCTTGTCAAGGCAATTATTCTGACTAGTATTTGTGATCTGTATATATCTTAAGTTTACAGTATTCTTCGTAAGAAAACCACATCTGAAATATCAACTAGCTTCTTGAACTCCTGCCTTAGCAGCCTAACATTGCAACAAGAAGCTAGCCAGAACAGTTGCTATAAGCATCTCACTCCCAGTCTATCATTAGTTGACACCACAGAAAAAGGTCAATCTTGGCACCATGGAAGGTCAGGCTATTTTCATTGCATAGGATTGTTTTAAAAAAAATTCTCTACTTCTCAATTTACAGTAACTGTGTTAACATAAAAAGTAGTGTTCACTTGGCACCTGGCTGCCTTTTGCAGTGGGCAATAAGTAAAAAGCTGGTAAGAAAATAGAAATTTGTTGAAAGCTTCCTGCATTAGGCACTATGTACCTCAAAGGAGCAGAGCAGTCTGCTCTTTTGCTGGTAGTGAAAGCAGCTAGAATGATGCATGTGGGGTTTTACTATTACTGGGGGGAACCCCTGCAGACCAGCAGTCCTTAGACTCTGAAGCTACATCTATACTGCAGCTGCCCCCCCCCCCCCTTGGCTGCAGAAGATATGCAAATTCACACTTTATTTGCATATCTTCTTCCAATGATCCTTTTTGCAGTAGAGGTTTTGCCATTAAAAGCCCCATGTAGATGGGGTCATTTGTCAGAAAAAAACTTTTGCACAAGAGCCTGTAAGCTTCATTTTTGAGGAATAAGGACTCACGCAAAAGAGGGTTTTTCTGACAAATGGCCTAGTCTACACAGGACTTAACTGCAAAACCTCTTCCGCAAAAAGGATCAGAGGAGGATATGCAAATGACTGCAAGATGTGCAAATTAGTGCCTCATTTGCATATCTGCTGCAGGGAGGTGGGGAGAAGGAAGAGAGAACAGAGAGAGGGAAGCCGGTGTAGACGTAGCCTAAAGGTGCTACAGGACCACTCTAAGTTAGACTAATATGGCTACCCCTCGTACACTACGGGGAGGTGAAGGTTTATCTTCTAGAAGAGTGTGTGTGAATAAGTACTGTGACTGGTAATAGAAATGAAGCCATGTTAGTCCGGTCTAGCTGAAACAAAAGACAGGTCTATGCAGCACTTTAAAGACTAACAAGATGGTTTATTAGGTGATGAGCTTTCGTGGGCCAGACCCATTTCCTCAGATCAAGTTGTCGAAGAAAATTGGCATGACCATATATACCAAAGGGATACAATCAAAAACACACATGAAAAGGACAAATCAAATTTCAGAACAGAGGGGGGATGAAAATGTCCGTGAGCTAATGATATATTAGAGGTGATAATTAGGGAAGCTATCTTTGTAATGGGTAAGATAATGAGTGCCTTTGTTGAGACCTAGGTGTGAAGTGTCACATTTAAGCATGAATGACAGTTCAGAGGATTCTCTTTCAAGTCTGGTGTTAAAATGTCTTTGAAGCAGGATGCAGGTAGTTAAGTCCTTGAGACAATGCCCATTCTTGTTGAAATGGCAAGAAACTTTTCTTTGTGATCCTGTCTATCATCTGTTGTGTGCATTGATTCTTTGGTGAAGTGTCAGACATTTGTCCAACGTACATAGCAGACAGACACTGTCAGCACATGATAGCATAAATTATATTTCTGAATGAGCAGGAATAGGTGTTCTTGATCTTATAACTGAAATGGTTAGTCAGAGATTCCCTTATGACTGTCATTGATGTGCCAGAATACCAGCGCCAACTTTTCTGCCCTCATGGATGCCCTTCAACCCCCTGTGCTGCTGAGTAAAACCTTCTGGCCTCCTTCAGCACTGGCACGGATAGGAATCACACCCCACAGCAATATAATGCAGTTGCTGAGCAATAGCTCAGGGGAGATTAAGTTAAAGGAACTTGCGTCAGCTCCCATGCACACAGATCCAATGGGAACTGAACCCCAGGTAAATCAATGTTACTCTGTATAAAGTTTTAGACAGAGGAGGCCCATATTGTCCACCCTCATTCTTACATACATATGCACAACTGTTCCCCTCCCCCAGTAACAATTTACACTGGATTAAAATAACTTTTAAGCATAAAAAGTAAGATTTAAATGGTTATCAGTAATGCACCCTGAACAAAGCAAGTTATGAAGCAAGCCACCACATGCTAGCTACACTTAATACCCTAAAAAAAGAAACACTGGTTTAATGAAATCTTTCACCTTCAGTTATTCTGATTTTTCACCTCCCATTCTGGGACTGATCCTTTCCCTGTTTCGTCAATGTTTCTAGCGGTCTTCTGGAGTTATCAGGAGTGTCCTGACATCTGGCAACAACCCTTATGTTGTGTTTAAATGAAGCACATGAGATCTTTTATAGGGGAAAGGCAATACTCTGCATTTATTGAGAATACAACAGTTGCATATGCTTTCTAATCACACACACTCCTCTCCCTCCTCCCCGTCAGCCGACAGTCAGGGCAGAGTGTGTGTGTGTGTGTTTTTCTCAGAAAAGGTTTAACATCTGTGTCTTTACTGCTAGGACCAGGGTCCCTTCGCAGAAGGTAGCCAGCAAGCTAACAGATGCCCCTTTATAGGAAGAATTTATTACACCTTAGATTTTAGCTGCTAGAACACAGGGTTCCTTCGCAGCGGGCAGCCTGGGAAAGGCTGAAAGGTGCGCCAACGAATCTGTCACCTGGGAGTGACACAGATCCAAACGCCCAAGCTCTTCCTATGCCTGTCCCTTTATGACCGGCTGAAGTTTTTAAATTGTGCTTGGTTCTGTTACAGCAACTGAAGGAGTCAGGTTAAAAACTTAAACAGTTACAGGTTTATTAAAAAGACTTATAAAAGCATATGGTTACAATGGCTATTGCTCTATTTCTTAAATGCTAGCAAATATATGTATGTAAGTCTTTAAAATGATTACAGGAAAATAAGATAGAAAATAGAAATAATGGTACCAAGTGACAGCTTAATCTTTAAAAAGCTCTAACACTATGTATGTGTGTGTGTGTGGGGGTTTGT